CACATTTCCAAGTGAAAATGCACAAAGCACACCATGCTCGGACCACTTTTGGATGTTGAGATGCCTTCACTACACTACACTACATTGCCGTGTTAAGCTAGATAGATAGATAGCTAGATAGCTAGATAGATAGATAGATGGATAGATGGATAGATGGATGGATAGATGGATAGATGGATAGGTAGATAGACAGACAGACAGACAGACATACACTAAATTACACCACACTACACTACACTGCATTACAGAACACTACATTCCACTACACTACACTACATTACACTACATTACACTACCTTCCACTATACTTCACTACATTACACTGACTCCACTAGACCACAACTACAACTACAACCACACAACTACACAACTACACCCCACTACATTCCAATACACTAAATTGCACTCCACTACACTTCACCAAATATGGACAGATAATAAGGAAAGCAGGGCAGAGACAGAGAGGAGAGAAAGATATACCTGTGGACATGGATGAAGAGATGGACGAAAAAAAAAAACTAACAGGGAGAAGTAAGTGGATGGATGCATGGCTGGATAGACAGAAAGATGGAGAGTTTAATAGTTAGGTGAATAAACAAATCGAACGATAGCTACATGAATAGACAGGTAGATAGGTAGATGGCTAGAAAGGTAACTCTGTAGATAGATGGCGAAAGAGAGAGACAGAGAGAAAGAGAGACAGAAAGGGAGAAACACTCAACCACCTTTCAATCCATCAGTGGGTTCGCTCTGCCATTTTTGCGCCACAGCAACGCACCTCTCCTATAGGTTTTTCATTTTTGAAACTTCCGCCACCGCCTTGTGCGGTACTACTGGTATTCAGTAATCTGCTGTAGTTGTTTTTTTTTTGTTCCTCTTATTATTTGGTTTAAATTTGCGTATATCACCTATTCGTTTGCCAACTGCCTAATCAAATTAAATTATCTACAATGTATCGACTTGTCAAAATATCAAATCCATCAATATATATCTATCTATCTATCTATCTAATTATATATCTATCTACCCATCCATCTTTCCACCCATCAACCAATTAATCTATCCATGGTCCATCTATCCATCGATTCGTCTGTCCATCTATCCACCAATCCATGGATATGTGCGGTCTGTCTGTGTGTCCATGGTCCGTCTTAATGAAGGTAAGCTTTTTGTGGATCTTAAATGCCTATAGAAATACAATTCCCTTCATGACACTGTATCCGTTTGTTGCCAAGAATCATACGTCATAACATATCATGACCTTTCATGACCTATTACGCCTTCGCAACCAATGCTTGTCTTTTAAATTCATCCATGTGTGATTTTATGTCCTCGTGTCGGCTATATAGATAGCCAGTGATAGGTCGTGAATTTCAGAATCTGTATGCTTTCAATCAGTGAAGTGGAACCTTCTTATTGCCATGTCATTTGATCAAACGCTCCACCACCGGTCTTTTTAAGTGATGTCCCTATTCAATAGCCTGTTGGTCATGATAATATTCCTGGATGTGCATCTTCCCCCTATTGCCATCGCTTGCCGCCTTGCTAGAAGTGCCAGGACACTGGTAGGGAAGCCAGACATTGTTGGGGTCTAGGGGCCTTCTGCCAACGTGTTCCGATGGATGCAACCGCGTCGCGAAAAACAACTTGAGCCGACAGAATTCATGGCACCAAGGGTGGGGAAATTGAGCCACTGGAAGTCAAGTGGGCAACAAAGAGGCATGGGGTTATCTAATTGAGGCTGCCCGTCGGAGATATACATCTACCCCACAAAAATTCAAACTTGCAAGTCCAACCGGAAAAGAGTGGACTTACAGCCCGCAAAATTAATTACACAAACAACACGTCGATTTTCACGGTTATGTTAATTTGGGGGAAGGCAATCCTTTGGAATTGAGGATCGCCCATGTTGAAAACCAACTTGGGAACCTCACTTTTGCAAGTGTGGATGCGCGGGTGGCCTTGCGAGTCACCAGCACGGTCTGATTGGTGCCACTAACGTTGGCTTTGAACTGCCCCACACCTTTCACAAACATGCTGCCATACCTGGGCATGGTAGTGCCCCATGGATAGCAAAGTTGGTTTACAAGTAGGGTAAATGGGATCTATGTTTGATATACTGTAACTATGGTTAATTGGATTTATAAACCAACCCACTGTAGATCAATGGTTGGGTTTAGTTGAAAAAATATACGGTTGGAAACCCTATTCTTTTAACCACCAAAAACAAATGTTTCGTGCAGGTGTTCCCTTCACATTCTGGGACAAGAGTCTTGTGGTCATGCCGGGGACGAAAGTTTATGATAGTCACTTGCACTTTGATGAGAACAAATGTATTCAGGTATACGGGTATACACGCGCATACATGGATATAGTTTTTTAGATATCCATGATTCAATAAGTGGAAATGTTCAAAGTTTTTCTCATTGATATAATGCGATTATATCTTTCTCTGAATGTGTGTATTTAAAATATCTGTTTGGATATCTCTATTTATATATATATATATTATTTAGATATGGTGATATATCAGTTTCCAATTGATTCTAGGCTCTCAGATGTATCTGTGCCATCTGCAACGAGGATGCGCTACTTGTTTTGATTTCAGGAGCGTCCCGCCTGGACAAATACTCGCGTCCGAAGACTTTCTTTGCGTACCCAACATATCTTCAAACATGTCAAATTCCGTCCGGGAAATGTAGTATGTTGGACCCCAACACATCGGCGAGAACTATAGGTGGCCATAAATCATCCACATCCGACTGACCAAGTGCCACAGTGCCACAGGCTGGTGGCTTCACACCATCAACAACTGGTTGGTGGTTTCAACCCCTCTGAAAAATATGAAAGTCAGTTGGGATGATTATTTTACCCAACATATCGAAACATGTTCCATACCACCAGTCAGACAAAAATGAGGCAAGTGAAAATAAGATCATCGCAGGAACTTATCGAATTGAAACCAAGTCAAACCACCAGCAATTTTGCTAGTACTAACCGCTACTAACCCATGTTTTGTTGGAGAATTTGCCCATGAGAATGCTTCAAATTGGGGAAAAATCGAATGACCTGAGGGGCCAATGATTTCCGATGATTTCCTGAGGGGCTGATGTATACAGATTGTTTCCAACAATTGAAGGTAATGTGGCAAACCTAAAAACCACACCCCAGATTATACCAGAAACGGGTAATGTAAACCATCCCCCGTGAAGTTTATGGCTGGGTTTGCCAGCCATTGCCCGATTGCATCATCCAAGCAACGCTTGATGTGGTTTCAGGGGCAGCAGATCAGCATCCTTCAGCCACCGAAGCTTCCTAATTTCGGATTCAGCCGGCGCCCACAATCCGTAGATCTAATGCGGCATCCAGGGATTTGGAACAACATTACCCTCTGGTTATTTAACATAGCCATGGGAAATGGCCCATTTATAGATGGTTTACCGATAAAAAATGGTATATAGTTGGAAGAAATAATCCATGTTGTACTGTACTTGGCAAAATTATACCTGTTGTTTGAAGAGTACAAGTGTCAAAAAATGATGCACAAAGGGCGGCATCCCGAATTTCCATACATTTCCATACATTTCCTAGATATAATCGGGGATCAACCGAGGAAATGAGACGGACCTTAAACATCTTAAACAAGCGATACAAGTCGCCAGTCTGTGAAAACTACTCCCAAACACTAATCTGAAAGAAGGACTGTTTTGGAACAACGCGTTTTCGATGGTTCAGGCTGCAGAACGATCTCTTTTGCAAACTTTGTGGAATTCACATCTATGTCTCCCCTCATCATGACATGACCCTCCGGTTTGTTGGATAATGTGGATGTTCAATTACATACAACGCGTGGATCCACAAAATCGAGGTGCTCGAATCAAAGTGCTCCCTAACTTACCATCTGGTTATCTAACATAGCCATGGACAACCCCTTATAAATGAAGGTTTCAGTGGGACAATCATCTATAAATGGGTTAATGGGTTATCGTATGTTAAAAAACCAGAAGGTATATCATATGTAAGGGGGAAAAAAACTATACGTTCTCCCCCACTTCCATCCCGTAAACTTTACTAAACTTTTCACCCAGGGATAGGGAGGAAAACCATGAAACCAGTCATGGCAAGCTCCGTCCGGCCCTGGCACCAGGATCACCAGGTCACTCCCCAAAGTCGCTTCGTACCACTTCTACTGGAGCGCCCTGAAGATGACCTGGTGCAGTCAGTGGATGACCCGCAGAATCTGAGCTGATGTTAAGTACATAAAGTGATATAGACACGCGTATTTATACATAAAATATCGCGCACACACACATATATATATAGATTCATTTATATATATATATATATATCAACATGAAACACACGTATATATAATATAAGAAGAGGTACTGAAATCACGCCAGTCCTTTTATACTGAACAAATTTCAATAAAACAATTCGGATTGATGGATCATGATGTACCATGACCATGATTGATAGTTGGCTCATGGTCCACCAATTCTGAATCATCAAAGATGCAGCCTGCACTGGGTTGGTGAGAAATGATCCACCAGGAAACTAACAGTTCGTGCCGCCACCTTTCCTGAAGGTGTCAGCCAATTGCCAATCATCTCGTCTCACCGGACATGTATCCTTTGCAAGTTTGCGATAGCCTAACAGTTGGAAAGGTGATTCACCACGCATTTTCGAGAAGAATGGGCTCACCCATGGTAAATAATGTAAAATGTACAACCAACCAGTCACACTCGTTTGGAGAAATCACGAGCCAGCATGAGCCAGCTATACTATAGCCTTCAATGCAGTACAAAAAATCACACGAAACAAACCAAACAAGCCCACATGGGCAACAAATGAAAAACCATACATGGATAAAATGACATGATCAACGGCGAATACAACGTCAAAGAACTATACCTACAACTGTCTAAAACACTTTTAAAAAAACAACGGTAAACAAACTAAATATCTTCAAACAAATAAATTAAAACAAGAAAGCAATTTTAAACCCACAAAACCAGAATTGTCAAACAGAAAAACGTGACATGAACCCAGTGACAGGCATCTTGCACGCAGTTCACACTACAGTCATAGGCTCTCCACAAGATCAGCGACAACGCCTCCTTCTCCTGGCGTTAGATGCGCGGAACACAAACACACAGAGATTTAATGGGGTTTAACATACATAGACAAGGGGATATGAGCAACTTATATAGTATGACAAGATAATGGGGCACGGGGCATATCCGCAACATGAATGTCTAAATAAAGAACGTAGTGATATTACTTATACCCATTTTTTGACAAATTGATTTCGCCTGGAAATTACGGTGGTCAAAACAACAAATACTGAGCATCTCACCTGAACCACCAACTATAGAAACTGTACCCTAGACATGTAGGTGACAGGTTGATATTCATGCGCATGGTTGCCCAAGCCTAGATTCATGTTTGGAACCCGTACAGTAGCCTTTGAAGCACGATATTATTACATAACATTGAGGTATTGCCAATCAAAATTTGAACACTTGAAGAAAAGGTCATGATCCACTAATATAAACCATCAACTTGTCATGGTTAAATCCTCATTTTTTGTTGGTCAAATCTACCATTTGTGCTGGCTAAACCGGCTAAACCCCCTCCATGAGGTCCAGTTTAGTTAGGTGCTTGAATCATCTGGGCTCACCATTTTAGCTTGTCAAACATGTCAAACCCCCAGTCTCCCAGCTTTTTCTCCAAAAAAAAACTATAGAACATATCCCTATCCATCCCATCTCAACAAACCTGGTGCCATATTTTTCTCCACCGTTCCACCGTTGCGCCCCCTGTTGCCGCCAACAACGAAGGGCACCGTGTCGAAGAGTCCAGCGCGACAATCGAAGTGCGCCACGACATCCTCGGGCAGCGCCACGCCGCGCTGCTGCGCCAAGCGCTCCAGGCGTCGGTTGAAGAGCGCCGTCACCAGGCTGGCGCCGATGCCTGGTGCAATGGTGATGACAAAAAGGTCAATGACATGGGATGAGAATAAAATAGGATAATCATGGGGTAATAATTGTGATATAATTGTTATTGAAATTTCTATTGAAAAATGTAGATTGAAATTCCACAATTTCAATTGAAAGTTATACTTGCGTTGATTTCGATTGAACAAGTCAACCTCGATTCAAAAAAACAATCTAGGATGCTCTGGGTTACTAACTGCTGACTAGCTTTGCTGCTACTATTACTGTTACTATTAGTATTTCTACCTACTGCTACTACTAGTCGCATAAATATAAAATACCCCCGTAAAGCTAACATTTTGAAAATATTTCAAACTAAAAAGGGGAAAAAAGTGGAAACCTTAAACGCCGGCCAGTGATAATGGGAAGATAATAATGGGAAGATAATGGTTAAGAATGGGATAGTGGATATTCCCTTACATAGCCCTCTCACAGGCCTTATATATGGTAGGTACGTCCGAGTTAGGTAGTTGAGGAATCCTTTCCCCCATGGCTATTAGACATTCATAGGGGATGAAACATATGACTTGGACCTTAGATTAGGGTTCTTAGAAAATATGAACAGATGGGATCAGAGTTGGAAGGGTCTGTTTTGGGATGCTCACTTGCCTTGGCGGCTTGGAGGTCCGTGTCTTGACCCACATCCACATCTTGGAAACACTTTACATCCCCGAGAAATAATATAAGCGAACAAAAACCAAACGCACAAATCAAACCATAAAGCCATGAAACACGAAATCAGACTTACAAAAACATCAAAATCGGAAGGCGCAAGCATCTGATCTTCAAAACCAAGAGGCTGACCCACTTCTGAATCCGTCCTTTATGAGGCCATTCGAAGGGTTGTCCACCACCTGCAGTGGCCGATGTGGCTTTGAGACCTCTGATGGAGCCCAGCAAAATGCCAGGAATCCAATGGGAAGATCGCCATGTCTGGGTGTCTTGGGCATATGTTCCTTGAACAGGCAAGAATAAGCAGGGATGAAAGATGCACACAATTTTGGTTGAAGAGAATTGTGTTAGGAAGTTATTAAGCCAAAAGTAGGCAAAACAAAGTACCATAGGTCTTTCAAGGACGAACGTGATTTGCATTCCAAAACTCCTCCACGAAAGGGAAGGCGCCAGAAGGATGGAAAAATGGGGAAGTTGTTGAACATAAATAAGATGACTGGATGGCGATGTTTTGTCACCCAACTGGTAGATGATTAGTTAGAAAAAGGATGAAGAGGGATGGTATTAAGTCTTTTTAAGATATTGAATGGCCGGACATCGCTTGCATGAGTCCTCAGCAGTTTTATACTTGGCGACGCTCACCTAGTGGGGACTTGAACCATTGCTGGCCGAATATCAACTTCCAGTTTCAAGGCAGACAAGCTCCCAAACCATCCCGGGCAAATTCGTGTCCATTTTGGCAATCTTCCGTTTGCATGACACCAACGCATACCAAGACAATCTACGGATCTGGGCAATTTCCTGATCATCTGACAACATGGTTGGAGTGTATCTAGACACTCGTGCATGTGTAGACATATTTCTGCGCATCTCCATCCATCTTTGTAACTATCCAGTACTTTTGTGTATATACATCTATTCATATACACTCATAAGCACAAAGACAGTGAACACATTTCACTTGTTGCAACACATGTGCCAAACACATAGCATTGCAGCTACAAAAATCAAACAACCAATCTCATCCAACGTCACAGTGCCTCGCCAGTCCTGGGCAAGTTACGACCAATGGTCCGGGGAAACATCAGGATCGTCATCTCATCGCTGTGCGTATAGGCCACGCTGCCTCACCAGGATGGCAACCTATGCCATAGACCTATGCCATAGCCTCCCTGCTGAGATGATGGTTCAATGATCCCTGCAGTCTGTGGTTCGTAGGTGGTTTGCATCCCCTGTCCATCCCTTTCCAGGATATGAAGGATAGCAGTTGCGAACCATGCAGCCCCAACTAGGGTGGGATTCATTGTTTTTTTCCCGGAGAATTTCAACCACCCATTTATAAAACATTTCGCGCAGAAGTCCTAGAAGATGGCTTCCACCCACAGTGGGCTATGATCATCTCATCCCACCAAGCCATCATGCTGCGCACAGCACTTAGAAAGAAAAAACCCTTTGTGTCTGGCTTAAATCCCTATGATATAAATCCAACCATTGGTTAAATCATGTTAAATCCCACAAAAAAATCACGATATGATCATTTAATTACCACATAACGGTTGGTGAGATGCTTTCTGACCAAGGCATGGACGGGTTGAACGGCGGCCTTTGAATTCATCCATCATGGCGCGGCAGCACAGCCGCATGATTTCTCCAATCTCCTGTGACTGGGGACGATCCCCAAGAAATCAGGAGAATCCAATGATTCAGGATCTCCAATCATAGCTGGGATACTGATTCATTAACTTCAGGATACGTCATACACATATTAAAAAAAATATATATATATATACACCGTACATACTTTTAAAAACAGAGATCATGCGAATCTCATCAAAAATCCATGCATGAACTTGAGGGAGCATCTGCGAACTGAAAGTTTGCGCGGTTGAAGCATGGTTGGACATTATGGTCCCTATTGCCAAAACCTTCTTCAGGGAAGTGCCTTGGAAGGAAAAGGACAAACAGGGGCGTTTCAGAAACCTGAATCATCTAAAGCTGCTTCCACAAAAAACTGTAGTCTAGAAAAAACATGCAAATTTTGCCAGTATTACACCACCCAGGACATCCTCGGAGCTTACATGGCATATAAATGTTGAAACGATTTTACATTCAACTGCGTAAATATGCTTTTGAAGGGAATTATGTACTCTTGGTTGCGACCCAACTTCAATGCGGCTAAAAACCTCCCATCATTGTATCATCGACCTCGGAGTAGCCAGGCCCTATGAGGCCAATGTCACGAAGGTCTCGGGTGAGGCGGCCAAACATGCAACCATCCAACCTGCGGAGAAGGCATGGTTTAGCTGTGCATCCTAGATAAGTAAGCAATAATATGGCAATAATCTAGGTAAGTTAACCCAATTGGATTAACGTAACGTACCTCGGTTAATAAACATGGATTATGAACAACTTGCTAGTGGGGATTCCCCGACTATGTGAATGTTTCTCTTGTTTCAAAGGAACCAGCTATCCTCATCCTGTATTCTCCAATCCCGTGATCTTTGTTTTAAAAAAAGAAAATCATCTATCTGACCGACCATCAGTGAGGAGACACCTCTGCAGCCAGCCGTTGATAGACAGTCTGTTTCAAACGGCCACTGCAAAACTTGACTTCAAATACCATCCTCAATCAGATAACTCACATCCCTGCATGATTGTTGATGAATGTGGCTGCTTCACGCCAAACTACATGATCGTTCTTGCTTTTTATGTGCACACACACACGCACACACGCACACCAACCCCAAATTTGCTCGTTTCGCCGCCTGAGGCTCACATACTTGGAACCATCCAACGCCTCTGGGGTTTCCTGGGCGTTGCAAAAAATAGGAGGTTTGAGCAGCCAAAATGCGGAGTTAAACTTTGAGAATGGGTTGCTAGTCAAGAAAAACTAATTATACAATTCATTAGTTCTATTCGTGAGTTAGGGTTTATCAATAGAAATGGGAAATTAACCAATAAAAATGGAAAGTTAAGCAAGAACCATGGTGAGTTAACCATGAACAGGTAAAATTTCACAATGATTCAAGCAACAAGATTTGGAGATACTTAGTGCTTGGAGATTCTCCTGGGTTTAAGCAGCAGAACTCATGTTCAGCACTGTTTTGCAAGCAAAAATGGGGATTTCAGGGTCGTGTGTTGATTTGATGCAACCCGCAACCAACGAAACAAGTTCAAAAAATGGATTTACCCATGCAAATGGAGAGATTACCAACAATCGGAAAATCACCGCATGGTTCAGGTTCAATCTTGAAATAGCAGCAAGCACACAATGATAAAGTTGATTTTTTCCGTATAATGAAAAATGCATTCAAAAAAACATACACATGAATAAATAATTCAAAAATTAAAAAAATATATATACGTGGGGGAAACGAACAATCCCATGCCCACCACATCCCACCCACTTCAACTTCCCACTTCAACCCCAAACAATAGGGGGAACAGCCCAAGCCACCCCAATCAGTCATTCACCAGCTGTTCACCTTCCTGCGTGTTAAAACCACAGAAAAAAAACACATGTTCTCTTGATGGTACAATCCACCATGTCCTTTCACAAACCCACCATTTTCTACGATAAAATCAGCATTTTCCACGTTCAAATCGTGGTTTTACCCTAGAAAAGAAACTTTTTTACCGCATTTTTCACGGTCAAATTGCCATTGGTCTATGGCAACCCTGTCGCCTGCGCCGTGACCAGCTCTGCCAGCTGCTGCCAGGCCCTGCGGCTACTGGGTGCCGACAGCTGATGCAGGGAGGCGTCCTAAGAAGCCGTGGGACTGTCGCGCTGCAAAAATTGGTTTTCTACTGGGTTTAATGAGCTTTACCCTCTGGTAATTTCAAAATAGCTATCATAGAAATAGTGGATTTTCCTATTAAACATGGTGATTTTCCATAGTTATGTTAGTTTACCAGAGGGTATATGGGTTTCAAGAGCTTTATATAAATGGGGCTTAATGGGATTCCAAAAGGATTTCATGGGATGAAAAGAGAATTTGAGTGATGAACTGGGGTTCGTGCAAAAATCAAGCTTCAGGATCAATCATGATAGGTTTGTCAGTCAATGCCATGTCCAGTTTATAAACATGCTGATTATGTGAACCCCAAACCAATTTTTTACCCAATGATTAACTGCTGGTGTGGGCTGCTGGTTTGAGATCCGACTTTGGGGTACCTCGACAATGGGACCAAATAACAATTTACAACATGATATATCTATACATATATAGTTATGTATATATATATAAATATATAAATAAATAAATACATAAACAAATAAAAAAAATAAACAAATAAATAAAAGTATATATATATATATAAACTTTGTTGATACGGCCGGGTGGTGTCATCTGACTATATATTACGTAGATTTGTGTGATCTAGTATATATAAGCCTATCACCCAAAAACAACCACTAAATGCTTTCTAAAACATATAGTAGTATACATATGGTTTGTCTGTTTGGGCACCACTGTGAACATAGATACTGTATTTTCTTGACAAATTCAGATCATGATATACACACACGTGTAGCATGTCAAATCACGTAACAATACATTACCCAGCAAGTCTAAAGATCCAGTTAAACGAGGACGATCATATAAAGATCTGGTTTGACTGAAAGACCTTAAAAAACGAGGTTCCCATAAATGTCAGTATTCATGATGATATACAATATATATAGCATGTAATAGACAGCATAGATGATAACTATAGTATACTATCCCCATACCTCACCATCCACCATCTCCAAACCATCCACCATCCCAGCTTCAGCAGCACACAACACTGCAGCTGGTGCCAACGTTTCCCTTTCAGGCCGGACCGACCCACTTTTTTTTTCAATTCTTTCACTGCGAGTTCGTTCAAACGCCGGATGTGCCTTTTCAACGCAAGTAGCCTGCCACACAACTCAGGGCACACCATATGATATGTCACTGGAATTTGGGTAATCATGCTGATCATGATCATCTATGCGCCTGAAGTGTGATGCACGGAGGACTGATCTCGATAGGTTTCTTCGAGATGCAAGTTGGCATATGCCTCATACGTACCAAATTTCATGTATCATACACATCGCACACATGACATCGAGCACAGGGATGCAAACAAAAAACACAGTGAGATCCCAAGGTACACTTGGCCCATTTCATTTGATCTTCTTCCAAGAAGTTGTGCCAATGACGCCAATTAAGGCCTGAATTCCCATGCGCACATGTCATGTGCTGAAATTGTTTCAAGTACTGCAAAGGCTGCGCAACTGCTTTAAAAATAAGTCTAGGCACGGTGGCGAAGGCAGTCCTTCAATTGGTGGTGGAAAGCCTAAGGGTGCTGCTGGGAAACTGTTGAGTGTTTGGTGTATATGCACATCATTTTTTGCAGCAAAGGGTCGTGCATCTTCGGAATGCAATACCAAAAAAGAAGTCCATGCCTCGCACTCGTGCACACTCAATTGAAACTAGAGCGGCCGGGATAGAACACAATTTCAAGAAATCATGCCTGTGGGCAATTCTCGCTGAAGTCTTGTGCGCCCGCAAATACTTGATGCCAGATTCGTATATATCATTCGCTTGCTGTTGAGACCTAGCAGCTAGCATGCACAAACACCCACACACACACCAGGGTACTTGTTGAAAAGGCACATCCGCTGAATAAGTTCTGTTTTACTTCAATCTAGGCTGGGTCGAGGCACAGGTATCGAGGTGATCTCTCAATGTACCAAAAGTTTTTGGCCAGAGCATTCCTGGATGACAACAGTCAACAAGATCTGAGATAAATGTGTGTTATTTAAACAGAATTGGCCCATATGCATTCATTATTCATTTTTGCTGGGAGTCATAGCAACTGCTGAAGGAATCAGAAGCTCATGCTGTGGCCATTCCAATCCAGCAAGACATTGCCCCATCAGGCGGCCCTCTTCAACTCTGCGTTCCACAGCCATTTGGAGGCAGGATGCCAGCCAGCTGACCACAACCCGGGCATTGTAGGCTTTTGCAGTTAGGTGGGCCCCCCAAGTTGTAGATTTCCATACCTCAATGATTGAAATCCAACACACACATATAATATATATATATATACACATCCAAAAAGGCGCAGTGAAAACACATGGTTCTTTCCACCATTAGAATTCATCCAAGTTGCAGCTTGTATCATGAATAAAGTCTGTGAAGATTGAATCTTGTTCATGGCACACCAAGCTTTGAAGTCTTTGAATGCTGTCACCAAACGGTCAGGAACAGACACTGTTTCAGGATCTCCAAAAAAACCAAGCTGCGTCAATAGAAGCCTCAAACCAGAGTTGATTCATGGGAAAAAATCTGGGTTGGTTATTACCAGTAATCCCAAACAACTGTGTCAAAAAAAACGGACTTGAATTTCATATCAGTAACAACGCTGATCCATTTGCAACTGCAGCGATCCCGAGATTGACATTGTGCATACTACAGTGACGCACCATGGAGTAGTGGAACTTTGGAAGTAGTATCAGGGGACCTGATCTGATAAAAATGCTGGGAATAACCATGCAGGTGTCCATATTTTTTTGGGCGTTCCCCCTTACACAGTAAAAGAAACATTTTACTTAAGTTGATGCCAGCTCACATGGCCCGGCAGGCCCTATCGAAATGCACCGGGCCAAGAACTGAGCATGGGTCAGTTGGGCCGCTTCCCAATCGGGATGTTCCCTGAAATCCAAATACGAGGGGAATCCATCAGACTCAGCAGTTTTGCTAGCTTCACACCGCCAACAAAATTGCGAATTCCTCCATGATCGTTTTAAAGACAGGGCATCACAATGCCATTCCCAATCTCCCTTCAGCTCTGTGACGCAAAAACGAAGAGTTTTTCCATCAACCTGAATTCCATGCTCATAAAGTTGCCACATACTTTGAACAATCCTCTTGTAGATTGGGAAAAGGGTTCGGGCCCCCAGCATGCGAAAAGTTTCCATTGCACACAGCAGCCAAATCCGACGACGAGCTGCACGTGGATTCCAAAGGGGTAAGCTGAAGAAGATGCAAGTAACTTTTTCCCCTGCTAAGGAAAACTTTGCAGAATCACCATAAAGTGCACAGGGAATGTGATCACCTTCTGACATACAACTCCATGGGCAATTTGTGTCCCTGCAATGTTTCCAGTACTTTTGGATTTCACATGGGGGTATTTCCAAACCCACATCGCAAAAGAGATACCTCAATAGATCCTCCGGTAGTGTCATCGGTATATCGACTGGTACTGGGTCACTCTCACGTAGCTTTCCCCGCATCATGGTCTGAACTTGAACTGTCTCCTGCAGGGAAATGATAGTGATTGGGGGAAATATATATATAGTACATCTAGCTCATCCTATGCTCATAAATTTATTAGATCAAATATTGTTTCATCATAGCTATAGCTATACATTTAGACACGGCCATGCGCTGTTCTTCTTCAACCCACAGTCCACTGGTGCTTGAAAGTGTCTTCGAAAGTCTCTACTCGGATTGTGGGTGGAGTAGGAACCCAGCTTTTCAACTTGGGGTGGAAGTCCACTTGGCGTGTCCTGATTAGACCATGACTGATATCATGATCATGGGGCATCAGAATCAACTCCATCAAAATTTGATATTTGTGATTGAATTCTAGTCTGTTTTATTTTGCTACCAAGATTCCAGAAAGGATGCCCTGGCTTGTTCCATTTGTTTTTTGATAGAAGCCTGGGTTGGGTCAACATTGTTTGATGGACCACTATCGACTCCCAATCAGTAGTGAATATATATGTAATCAATATTTTTTGCAGATAAGGGGCTCCACTGGCAAGGCTGTCCAACATATGAGCGATTTGGTGCCCTCGATCAGGTTCAGCATCACCTGCGTGGGGATTCACATATATATAGATTAGTCTCGATATATGTAACTGCAAATATAAACAGCCATGCATAGTAGTGTTCAACAATCATGATGTTGGGAATTGCGATCATCAAAGAACAAACAGGGATAGGGGTATAAAATGGGAATCGACTATTCTTGGAATCAATTTTTTTCTTGCCATCGCGCAGTCAGGTTAAGGATTGGGATATAGGTTACCCCATATCTGGAAAGAGGCGCAGATTGCCCACAGAGCTGTATGGATTCACACAGCAATGGCTAAAGGCAACTGATGCCAACACCCCGCATTGATCACACTAGGCCTGCTGGAACAATCAAAAAAAAAATCGATGAAAATTGTTGAACCTGGTTTAAACATTGGTTTATTTCATAGAAGGAAGTTCCAAAGTTGGTTTTGATCAGCAAATGGGCCAGTGCATTCACAAACCTACTTTTTTTTGGAAGCACCGGAATTCGCTGACTTGTCAGCCTTCCGTTTCTTGCCTGTGATCGGCTCCATCTTTTCATCGAAATCACTAATACCTTTTTTGGCATTTTCCAAGGCTTTCTCAAGCGTTTGATCCTCCCATGAAAAAGCATAGCGATTGATGATACCCAAGGGAAGTCTTGATATATGTGATATATATCTCACATATATATAACTAAATAAATTTATAATATAATCCACATACTTGAGCCTCCCCCACTGTCCTGCGATCCATTGTCCAAGGTCTCCTGCAGCGACGTCCTGAAGCGAGTAAGGCGGGCCAAGAGCCCATTGATCTCCTTCTCCATAGCGTTCTTGATGTTGGGCGACCTGTCATGTCTCACACTTTCGGATGAGAACGTATATGAGGAATCATGATCGATGGTATTGGATTCATTAAATAAATCTGTATTGGAAGGTTTCCCACCCTTTGGGTCAGTAGTGTTCAACTTTTTAGCATGGTTGTACGATGATGTTGTAATTATATATATCCTATAGCTATGTCCCCATTTATTTTTGACGAGGTGCCAAGCTGTCATGGTCTTGATCTTTTCGTTGGCTTGGCGAACTCTGGTGTTGATGTCCCCGATCGCCTTGCAGAGGGAGACAAGTGGGTTGTGTTCTGGGTATAGGGTGCAACCTGACCTTCTTGGAGTCTTTAACCAAAAGCTTGGCAGCTTCCTTCGCCTTTTCTGCTTCCGGGTCCTTCTCTTTATCCTTCCCCTTGTTATTTCGAGACTTACCCTTCCCAGTCCTTCCTTTGGCTTTCTTATCCTTAGATCCCTTCTTCTTAGACTTCTGGCTCTTCCCCTGGAAATGATAATGGCCGAACAAACATACTTTATATTTTTTTGAATTCAGCCCACATATATGCATGGTACATGTACATGTACTACAGTGCATGATGACTATCCTACCTGCCGGCACAATGCAATGCCAAAAAAACATTGCCTTTCGTTTCTTCGAGTCTTTGCGTGTGGTCTTCTTCTTCTTCTTTGAGCCACCATCAGAGTCAGTCGACTCATCATCGTCATCGCTTCCATCAGAACTAGATGAATCACCATCGTCATCACCGTCCCTTTCTGTTGTGCAAAACTTGTCCATGGTTCGGTCAGTCTCTGAAGCCTCCTCTGAGTCTTCTACCAACACTAGGTATTGGAACATCGACGGCACTTCAGGATGCTTTCTGCATTCTGTTTCACGCAGCTCAGGGTCAGACTCTTTCCTCAGAATGATTCCATCGACCACAGCCTCATCATTGTCAAAGATGGGAATCATCTGCTGACGCGTCAACCATTTTCTGCGACCAGACTTCTTGTTCTCAATTGTGTTGGTGACACTCCGGTAAATTGTACTCTTTCGCCAGTCACATGAAGACTTGAAGAAATCCTCGTACAGCATGGACGACTGCTCTTTGCCTTATTGCAGGGATATGCAGGGATCAACTAATATATATATGAACTGGTACCGGTAAGTTAGGCATATATCACAGTAATCACTGATGCTATTCTTACATGTCACTGGGGTCTTGACACCAGCGGAACCTCTTGGCCAACTTCTTGACTTCCTTTGGGCAGTTCCTGCCTAAGATTACCAGCAAGAAGGATGGGGAATAGCACTGTCGATCTACAAAAATTGAAATCAAACTGGATGGGAATTGGACGGATTTGTATACATTGCAACCTAGATACTTTTGATGGACCTCCAATACTTCATGTACATCGCATGGGCCTTTCGATGCTTTTCCTCAGTAGCCTGGGTTTCATCATGTTCCTCAATGCTGTCATCCTTCTTGTCATGTCCACCTTCAGCTTTCTTATTTTTCTTGCGCAAGCCCTTAAGCTTCTTCATCTTCTTCTTAGTCTTAGTTGTTGATGGGGTGGCTGTAATGTGCTTCAACCGAATCAAGCGCTTCGGGGTGCTCTTGGGAGGTGCATCTTTGCTGCTGCTCTTGGCTGCGCTTTTCTGACCCTGGGTCTTGGTTGGAGCCTTGCTTACCTCGGTGGGCTTGCTGAATTCTTTCAACCGTTTCAACCTCTCTTTTTTTGCATTGGCCAAGTGCTGCTGGACTCTCTCGGCTGCTGTAGATGGCTTCTTTGCAGACCTAATTTCCTTCTTCACTTTCGCTGTTTTGCCTTTGGGAGTCTTACTGGAAGGCGACGGTGTCTGCTCAGAGCTAGACTGACTTGTGGCATGTGTCTGCGCTGGTGCTTGCTGTGTCGCATCACTTGAACCCAAAGAACTTGTGGATGGGCTGCCCTTTGGTGTCTTTGGGGACAGGTTGTCCACAGTCGTACCACGGTTGAGTCGCATTGCTTTTTTGTCAACTGACCCCAGTGATTCAGTAGACGGGCACATAGGCAAAGTTTTCTGGGAATCAAATCGACTGAAAGAAAGCTTGCGACGAACCCTGCATGGAGTCGGCACCACTGCCTGTCCAGGGCCTGGGCAAGAGCACAATCCAGATTTTGCAGGGGGACCCAGGGCTGAGTGGCAAAATTAAGCTGAGAGATGAGCAAGCACCATGAGGTTCAGCAGTCGCTGACCTAATTATTAGATGGGGATTCAAATCGATTATTGCAATCATTAAAGGTTGGACCTGACAATTGATGGGGCCCAGACTGAGTAACATTCGACCCCTTCAGCTTAGAAGTAGCTCTAGCTGCCCTCTCCCGGGCTTTACGCAGCGCAGCTTCAACAGGGTTCTCCATGCTGGGAGCGGGGCTTAGAACCGATCAGCTGCAAAATAGTTTGTGGAATGTTCGTGAACAACAGATCACGGTTTTTTTGAAAATATTGGCAACACTAAAATCACTCAAAATCACGGGTTTTTCACGGGCTTTCACGGTCTTTTCACGGGTTTTTCACGGTCTTTTCACGGTTTTCGGTTCGATCACAATTTTCATCATTCGAGTGTGAAAATCGTAATTTTTAACGACACACTCCGAATTATCGCAAATGAATTGTGGTATGACCTAAAAGTCCAATGGGAAATTGGGGATAAATCGACCACTCTCAATCTCGGCTTTGATGAATTGCTTCACCGGATCCCAGCTCGCATGGTTCCAGTTGTAGGGAGCGACTTTCTTGCTGGTGGCCCCCTGCACCAAGTGCAAAAAACAGTGCCCCTGTAAAAAAATGTTTAATTGAAACCGGTATCATGAGAAACCTTGGATATAAACCGTTGGCCTGGTTGGAAAAAGCTTTGACAGCAGCCATGTAGTTCCACCGGGATCTCTTTGCCTGGGATATATATAGATTTAAATTTGTTCACCACTGTCGTATATGCACACCAGGGACATGTTAGCTATGAGCCTTGAAATCATGGACGAAAAACAACTGAGAGTATGACCATTTCCTTCAAGTGAAATTGAGCCACCTTCCTCCCAAATTTCTCTGGATAAACCTGTGTAGATTTCAGCCGTGGTCCACCAGACCTGAAGTGCAGCATGGATCAGGAGCTAATCACTAGATTTCAAGATTCAAAAAATCTGGATATTTGTTCGATTTCCATTCCATGACCATCTTCATGAGATCTAGACTCCGATTACTTTTAAATACCAGAAACTTGCAAACTCAGTATCCGACACAACTGTTTTTCCAGTGGTGCGGTTCACAGACCGCTTGGTGACTCCAGTTGAGTCTAAGCGCAACTTCACCCGGTCCTTGAAGGAGAGTTTCTTGTAAAGCCTACCTGCCCACTTCCTGAGGTATGTGGCACAGTCATGATGGCTACAGGCTCACGCACTATGATTGATGAGGCCCAAGCGTGGTCCCGATCACAATGGTTGACTTTGCTGTGGCTGAGCCAAACCAAGCCATCCAACTGGGCGAACTTTGGTTTGGGTGTTGGGTACATTCATGATGCTGGAACGGAGTTATAAATCTGGATATCGATTATGGTCCATCAATAGGTACCACTATATATATCACACATCGATTCTTTCTGAGAACCCCACAAACGGTGGATGCTGATCGCCACAAAGTTCTGCAGCACTCGAATAATCCACTTCAAGTATGGAAAGTGGACAAAAGTTGAAGAAGCTGGCTGCTCGATTTCCCAGTGCACAGATCTGACTGTGCAAAGGGCACAAAGCAGCAATGTGCGAGTGGCAATCCTTGGTAGAAACGGCAATGGTGGCACACACACACACACATACGTGCACTGAGATGCAACTTTGAAATACACGCTATACATATTACATGGCCATTGGTATTAAAAAAACTGTACTTGCTGATCCAATTGTCAAGTAACACATTTGCTTGCTGAATGTACAGCTTCAACTGATCTCCAAATGGTACATCTGCAGACCGCATACTGGTAGATCTATTCAACCAGATGAATGAACAACATGGCAAACCAGCGAAAAAAAGTCCAAATTCTCGAAGTCTGAGGGTGAACTCCACTGCTGTCAGCCATCCAGTCCTCATGTTTTTATATGCATGCGCATGTTAAACAGAACTAGGCTTTGATTTTTTGGTGATTCACGCAAGTTGAGACCCGCACATCGATAGAATATCGTGCTTTGGGCAGGTCTCCTTCTCGAAGTGTTCCCTGACAGTGATACTGGAGGCTGGGACGGGCTGGAAAATCCAAACGAAAACTTGCACATGTTCTAAGTTGGGTTGATCAAGCAGAAGCTCCCCGATTTGAGCACCAAGCGTTCGACAACCTCCAACATGACCTGGGCAAGGAACAATCTCATGAGCATGGTCATGGGATTCGAATGATAATAATCATTGATCATTTTCAAAAACCCCCATTGAAGTCATCAGCCCCCGGCTGAACCCTCGGGAGATAGATCTTTTCCCAGCAAACATATCTACGACGTGTATGTCCTGGGAGGTCAGGGGCTTTCGACAATTAAGTTCTTAAAGTCTTGGGCATGCATCGGACCTTGACAAATATCTGGGGCATTGACTCTGACTGGCATCTCAGACTGCTGGGCCACCAGGTCACAGAGCTGCACACTTAGCAGCACAATTCAATCATTCAGTACCAGTAGTGTCTAGAATCAGTATTTGTCCCCATGATTCATTTCGCACATTGAAGCTGATAATTCTACTTTTGCACTGATGTACCAGGGCCCCGGCAAGACCAGCGGTATTCCAAACATCAGCAATCCCATAACTTGGGACTGGGTCAACGCCAGTGGGTTGTGATCGCATCCCTTCGCTGGCATCTTTATCCCTTAAGCAAACCCTCAAGGTAGCTTGAGCAGCTAGGTCCACCTACGTGAGACACAAACAAATAATCGTGATCATGATCACTTCAGATTTCCGCTCATGAATGCAAATGTTGACTCTGATCATCTCTGATCTTTTCAATTTGGTAGAGGTTCCCCTTGCTTTCCCTTGCAAGCTGTAGATGCCTTTTCAACCATGAGCCCGTGTCAGGAATCCTGGCTTCAAAAGATCTAGCAGCTGGGGTCCCCAAGACGCATTGGGATCATGCATCATTCTCAGCAGACTCATCCGGCCACCCTGCAATGATGCGGGCTGCGTCAAACCTTAGTTCGAGTGGGCAATGGGCACCCAAAATTGTTACAGTTGCATTGAAAATGGAAATTGTTCTGCTGGATGATCAGAACATGAGGGTCAGACGCTTCATGGATCGATTCAAATTTGGACCATCCCAAGGTCAGTCCCTGCTTGTTGTTTGCCTGGCAAGCCAGGCATGAATAAACCAAATTATTTGTTTCATGAAGCACACTTGGGTTTAAATTTGATACAATTGCACATATAATTATCAACATATATTTTTCTATTCGCCTTGAAGGCTCCTCCATACTGCGAATTTAACTTCTTGAGAAGCTTCTCATCCACTTTGCTGAGGTAAAAGCTGCGGGCATACAACCTTGGACGGAAATAAGATGTTTGAACTATAGGATCATGGATCATGACAATCGATCGATCTATGTTTTTGATTTTTATCTCAGGAGTTGATACAATAAACATGTATGGGCATGTATGTAGGCCTGAAGATAGCCATCGCTTATCTCTGCATTTCAAATCCGGTCTGAGGCTTGAGCACGACTCCAATTGTCGGGCGCTCCTCCCCTTCGACACTCAAAGTCCAGGACCTGGGCAGTGGACATGATGGGGGTGTATAGATTTGAGATGTAATTTGGGACCCCAACTTTCGATCATTAGGAACATAAAAGTCGGGCTCCTTCTCTGCAATGTGATGCAACTCCTCTAGATCTGTCTTCATTTGCTCGGTCATCTTCATGTCCTGTGCATGTAAATCTTGGAACTGAATTGAACAAAACCAGCAGTGTTGAATAATATTGTTCACAATAACTGATAAATTTGATGGGGTCCTGTGGTGGCTTCGAAGCAGCTGGTCTTTTCAGTGGTCTTTCCTGACTCTCCTTTGACTCCGAATCTTTGCGCTTATGACTTGAACTTTGAAGATCAGGAACCGGTTTCGGTTTGTTTTTCGCTCTGCCTCTGCCCTTTCCCTGCCCACGACCTCGCCCTCGCCCACCACGCCCACGAGAAGCCTTGCTGCTGGGACGCTTGTATATGTTACTAGACAATTCCGATGAATCCTCACCACGCTCTTCATCCTGTTCTCCAGCTTGTTTCAAGGCTTTTTGGGCCTGATCATGCATTCAATTTTTTCTGGAACGTGTCACATATAGGTCGTGGTAGTTTCCAATAAAAATTGCTGAATGATATGGGCACACAACTATGTAGATACATAGCGACTGATCATATATATCAAACTGCCTCCAGGATATCATCATTGGAATTGCCTTCCTCTGCGGCCACAGCCTCAAAGCTGTCTTGGACCGCCCTCGACAGGTCACCAGGTGGCTCCTTTAGGAGCGAGCTTCGGTCCTGACCAATGGAACGAATGGAAGCAATCTATAGCTAGTGAATTGCTAAGATAGCTAGATCAATTGAAAAATATACGATGCTTGTCAAAGACCTTTAAATTTGGAGAAAACAAATGAGAAATCGATTTGAAACAATGCAGTGCACGCGGAACATTTCACTAGATCACCGCTCCTTGTATGTTCCCTTCTTAGGATCCTCTGGTTCATCTTCCTGTTCTATAGTTTCATCATGATCATGATCACCATCATCTTCAGGGGGGCAATCAGCATCATCCTGGTCACCAACATCTAAGCATTCATCATCGGTGTGTTTTTCTTCTTCAGCGCCCTCAAGGCCACGGACATCGTCTCCAGGTTCAACATGTGGCTCCTCGGCCTTAAGGGGAAGCAGTGGAGTCTCAGGTTTGTTCACAAGGGCTGTCAACTGGGCCATGGGGAAAATGGTCACAATTAATGAGCTGGAAATCAAATTCGGTTCGCTTGACTATTGTGATCGATCCTAAAACATACCACATCGAGTGCTTGTCAAATTCCAGAGAAAGTTGAGGATTGAGCATTCTCAACCGTCTCCCCCGCTGGAATGGTAGAGTCACGGCCAGCCTGGGTGCAGAGAGGCACAGTCTACTGGATCCATTAATAAGGCTTTCAAAAGCATGATCATGATCATCATGACAAAGTAAATACATAGGTCACATGCAATATGGCCATCCACTAGTGAATAATTGTTGGAGTGCCCAAGTGGAAACCCCAGCCTTGGCTGCAACAGCAATTTCTTTCAGGGTCTGCATCTTCTCGTGGCCTTTCCTCCCAGCGCTGAACCATTAAGATTCAATTATTTTGCTAGTATGGGGAGATACTTGATAAATCACGTGTTTAGACTATTCAAAAGGAGCACTACTGTCCTTGCTGATGAAGTCTTCTTAATCCTCAGGCAAACATACGAGGCAAAGCCTCGAAATAGGGAAGCTTCATGCTCCGCCCAGGCCTGCCAAACGATAACCACACGAGATCATGATCAAGCTAGATTTTTTTTCGAATGATGATTATGATCATGATCATGTATGACGACTGCACGATTCATGATGATTAACTATGACTGATGATGATGATGATGATGATGATCAAACTTGCAATATTAATGCATGAAATTTCCCAAGACCGGCCTCCCGTTTGACTTTCCCACTTTTGCTGTCTTCAAAATTGTTCAGCCGGAAGTCGAAGTCCATGGTGATCAGGGCAGCCTAGCGAGGCAAGAATCAGAAAAAAAAATATTAATAGGGGATTAATTGTACGAATTTATCAAAGTTGAGTCATGATCACTGCCTTCACCTCCTTCGCTGTAGGCAGCGAGGCAGCAAAGCTGCCAATGTAAGCGCTCATGAGATTCATGTTGTTCTCAGTTCCAGTCACCTGCAACAACAAAGCTAATTGAATTTGGAAATTATTGGAAATTCAAATGGGTGTGGCTACCTATCCATGTACAAGTCCCTGCACGCCTGCATCTCGTCAATTTGGCTACTGGTCTTGTCCAGGAAGGGGAACCCTTTCACCTCCCAGAGTAAATCAGGGCAAAATTCGATCTACACCCCAAAAAAAAACACAGCTGGGTATTCAAAATCGTTCAAAATCATAGGGTTGCCTTTTTCCCCTGATTTTTCAATTTCTTCATGATCTTGCACCGGGAATTGATGTAGTCATTGGTCAAGACTTCCCTGAAGAGTTCCTGCCGAATTAGTTCAAAAAATTGGATCCACCCCAGAATTGAACACCTGGATTCGTGTTGCACACATGTTGCTGTCCTCCAGCTCAGCTACTGTCTCAGGTTTGGGCTTGCTATCCGGCATCCGTGGCCACACTGGTAGCACAAGCAGTAAACTCACACCATCCTTTATGTTTAAAAAAGATCCTGTTCTAATTGTTGTGTTTTCTCTGCATGGGGGGTTTTGCAATGCACATCCCAGGGCTCCACCAAGATAAATTTATGTCCGTCCGATTGATGCATGTTTGGCCCACAATGTGCTTCGGATGCTGAAAATGTGAAAACTAGTTCAAAGAAATCAACAATAGTGAATCAGGAAGTGTCCCAATGTGCAAGCAGGGCAGAAGGGGCGTACTTGGAGCCACATCAGAACTCTCAGTGGCTTCATCACCTCAGACACACAAATTGGGTCCTATAATTAAAATCTCCGGATATATAGTCATTCCAGGATATTCCAAGCTAAAGCCTGAGATGAGGGCGTAAAGACCGGGAAGCACGTAGCATGAGTCACCTAAGAAAGTTAAAATTTGGGCCAGGGCGAACTAGTTGTATACCATAGCCAGAGCTAAGTCAAGAGCCACCAATCAGCGCCATGAAGAGGCACCAACTACATGCGCATTTTTTTCTGGCTGATGCTCAACATTTGCCCAAAAAGTCTTGTTGAATCTCATGGGGGTTTAAATCAGAGCATCTTGAGCCAGCCAACTCATGGAGGTTGGCAGTGGTTGGATCCAGGCAAACACTATCAAAGTGAAAAGCCCTGGTTAAACGAGGTGTTTGTTAAAGACCCAGTTAAACGAGGACGTGGACTCTCAGGGTTATCTATGTTTAACAGGAGGAGGATGAAAAACAACGGCAACCAGCAGAACTTGGCAAAACTGACGAAAATACCTTAAATGAATGAGGTGACTGATGGTGCCCAAAGTTGAGACACATACCTACGAATGGCTCTCAATTTGTTTGGTGTTTGGCGTCCAAAGGTATCAAGGGTTAAGTTATGTTAAGTTAAACAATGGACAGACGAAAACGAGGATGTAACTCGCAAACACTGGGCGTCTGGAAAAATGTGGTAATGACCGTGACTTGGTTGCTCGGTTGGTTGGTTGGTTGGTTGGTTGGTTGGGTGGTTGGGTGGTTGGGTGGGTTTGGGGGGGGGGGGTGGGGGGTGGGTGGGGGTGGTTGGTTGGTTGGTTGGTTGCTTGGTTGCTTGGTTGCTTGGTTGCCGGGGGGAAGATGCAGAAATTTACCGCCAACATCCGCAAACCAGTTTCTTTGCCTTTACGCGGCGAATACGAAAAACAATCGTTTCCATTTTTTGTGGCGGCCGAGATGCCACTCCGTCCACCACTGCTTCCTGGCGCGTCGCAAGCAATGTCCAGAGCTCGTCGAAGGTGGTGGACAATTTCCTGAGAAAGACAAATGAAGGTCGCAACCCAGCAAGCTACAACAAAATGGTGGTTCAAATAGGAAGACCTGGGATGTTGAACGGCAAAAATGGAAGCTTTCGAGGATTTAAAAGCAACAACATAACGACTTAGTTCATGAACAAAAGCAGGGGGATCGCGAACAAAAAACAGACTCGAGATGTGAGTGGGCATCTCCATGTTTGCATATCATCGGGTGCACACAGCAAAGCTCTTGATGGTTCATACTACTAGTAACGGGTGCTGCCCCACTCAATGGCAGCACTTGGGTCCCCATGTTTGTTGACACGGTGTAATCAATGTCCATTTCAGGAACCTAAATTGGAGGTACCTACCATATATATAAGGCCTATATAAGGCCTATGTGAGGGGATATCCCCGCAAAATATGGCCTTATATGGTACAGTACCTCCATTTTAGGATCCTGAAATTCCCGTTGATGTAAACACCATATTACAAGCCGCTGGCTGAAGTGATTGAACAGATCAAGTGGTATCACAAACATTGCACCCCTGATTTTAGCCCTGGTATGATGCTACACTACGTGAGCCACATGCAGCTGCTCTGGGTCACCGGTAATCTGCATGTTTACGAGCTGTATCTGCTACGTTCTGCTACCTAGTTATCCTCTCTTTCGCTGGCTTTGACCCATAACATGTGGGTTTTACTATCCGTAATTCTTCACCACAGTTACAGCTACAGGCGTTAGAAGCCAACTTATGGAGCCTACCACCATGGTTATGCAGCACATGTTTTTTCCACCCGCCCTCAAGATCAAACGCCAACATACCCACAACACACAAAAAAGAACTCATCTTTTCAGCAGCCAATCTTTGGTACCCTGCAAGAATACAACAGAATACCTATTTTTAAGCCTGCAAAAATATGTATATAAATATTGCAAGAGATATTGAAACACTGACATCCTTCTTCATGTTCAACTCCACATTTTTTTGGTTCAACCCGTATATGGATATCGGATATGGGCCACGAGCCACACCCATGGTTTTTACATCAAAACAGCTGGGGTTTATGTGGATGCCCATCCCTTTTGAATTCTGCATGTTCCTACGCAAGCACTGAATCATTGTCATACTGTGTGGTGAGATTTCCCGCCGTCCGCAACGCGGTGCCCCCCAGTTATGTATGTCAGCTCGCACGCCCACCTCACTACAGTGACTTCATCACCATAAACCAAACAACCTAGTCAACGATATCAACTTCTTAAAATCCCATATCCACCCATATCCCATGAATATCCCATTAAGATCCAGTAAGTTCTCATTCATTGGACTCATACCTCATGAGTTCGACCCAGCCAAAATCTTCATCACGCCGCGACGGCGCAGAGAAGCTCGTCCTCGCGACGCTCGTCCACAGCGCTAGCGCAGCCAGCGCTACCAGGAGACGATGGCGCCGGCGCCGCATGGCACCCGGGGATTCACCAAGGTATGATGAATTTATAGCGGTTGTAGTGAGATGTCATTAGTCATATATGGGTAAGGCGTTCATCTCCGGCTGTGAGTGATAATGGTGTATACTAGGAAACTTTTTGGGGAGTACGCCTCGGTAAATGAACATAACAATATTGGGAAAAAAAACGTTTCAGAGAAATCATCTGTATAAGTATCTGGTGCATGTTCAATTATCTATTATGCTTAGGTTATATAATGGACTGGGGTTGAATCCCAGTAGATTGGGGTATGGTGGTTTTCGGTTCTCTGTAAAGTGCAAAAACCTGGCATGTTGTTACCAAATCTCCGAACGGATCAGGTAGTAGCCTAGTGAGCGCGACAAAAATGCTTCAAGGGTTTTCTGGATTGTAACCAAGACACTCCTGTGGTAGTTTCGTACCTGAAGCTGTCAGAAACTGGGACAAGCTGGGCGACCAAGAAGCCCACGTCAAATACTTGACACCTGCTTTGCGGGATTGATGTGTGGCATGTTATGGTACCCAATTGCTCGTGTATTCTGCACATGGAAGGTTGGAGGTCACTGCTGCCAGCATCTTTCCCTACTGTCCTTCGCAGCTGCGTTATAAAATGCAAAAACGATCAACACCACGAGGTGGCGTTTACATGTGCAAAAATATTTCAATCCATTCGCCGCAACACACACACATATATATATATGTATAGTCCATTACTAAACATGATTAAACATGTACGAAATCATGGAACAAAGTGTGTATATAGACGAAAAACACTAAGATATACTAAGATAACAAACCAACCAGCAACATCGACATCCCAGGTCACGCTGAAAAGAAAAACATACGGACCCAAAAGCTGATTGTATAACCAGTTGAGTCGATATGATTTAAATTAGACGACGGATGGCCCGAGAGCGTAGAGGAGCAGGGTCTTCTCTTGTTAGTATGGAGACACCATATTACAAAACAATATAATTATTAAAGATGTGTTACAGGCAGTCGAGAAGAGGAGTATCAAGACAATATAGCATAAGTACAAGACAAAAGTTTGCATTGCAAACACTTTTGCACACAGAAGCTTTTACACAGAGCAAGCTTTTACACAGAGAACCCCTTACACAGAGAAGCTTTTACAGACAGGCGCTTTTACACACAGACACTTTTACACACAGACGCTTTTACACACAAGGCACTTTTACACACAGACACTGACTTTTACACGCAGGCGCTTTTACATACAGACAGTTTTACACACAGACGCTTTTACACACAGTTGCTTTTACACAGACGCTTTTACACACAGAGGCTTTTACCCACAGAAGCTTTTACACACAGAAGCTTTTACACGCACACGCTTTTACACAGACACTTTTACACACAGACACTTTTACACACAGACGCTTTTACACACAGACACTTTTAACACAGACCCTTTTACACACAGGAGCTTTTACACGCAGAAGCGTTTACACGCAGACGCTTTTACACACAGAAGCTTTTACACACAGAAGCTTTTACACATAGACGCTTTTACACATAGACACTTTTACACAAAAACACTTTTACACACAAACACTTTTACACACAGACGCTTTTACACACAGAAGCTTTTACACGCAAACGCTTTTACACACAGAAGCTTTTACACACAAACGCTTTTACACACAGACGGTTTTACACACAAACACTTTTACACAGAAACACTTTTACACACAGACGCTTTTACACACAGAAGCTTTTACACACAGAAGCTTTTACACAACAGAAACTTTTACACACAGACGGCTTTACACACAGACGCTTTTACACACAGACGGCTTTTACACACAGAAGATTTTACACACAGAAGCTTTTACACACAGAGGCTTTTACACACAGAAGATTGTACACGCAGAAGCTTTTACACAGACGCTTTTTACACAAACGCTTTTACACACAGAAGCTTTTACACACAGACACCTTTACACACAGAAACTTTCACACAGAGCACACAAAAGCTTTGAAGCAGACGCTTTTACACAGACGCTTTTACACAGATGCTTTTACACACAGAAGCTTTCACACACAGCACACAGAAGTTTTGTACACACAGAAAAAATCACAATTTTACCGCAGTTTTTGGCGATCGACCCTCATTTCGTGCGAAAGGGTTGCAACGGGAACCCGGAAATCGCAATTTTACAGCAGTTTTTGACGATCGAACCTCGTTTCGTGCGAAAGAGTTGCGCGGGACGATTTGAACACGGACTTCTACCACAGTTTTGGACGATCGACCCTCATTTCGTGCGAAAAGGTTGCAACGGGAACCCGGAAATCGCAATTTTACCTCAGTTTTTCACGATCGAACCTCGTTTCGTGCGAAAGTGTTGCGCGGGACGACTTGAAGTCGCACTTTTACTTCAGTTTTGACGATCGAACCTCGTTTCGTGCGAACGGGTGGCGCCGGACACCTTGAAATCGCAATTTTTACTTCAGTTTTTGGCGATCGAACCTCATTCGTGCGAAAGGGTTGCGCCGGACACCTTGAAATCGCAATTTTACCTCACTTTTTTGGCGATCGAACCTCATTTCGTGCGAAAGGGTTGCGTTTCGTGCCGTCTCGTTAGCACTGCCCCGCGTCTTCAAGAGAGAAATAGAAAAGAAGGAGACGGCAAGAGGGCAAGAGGGTAAGAGGAGAAGATGTGAGGATGAGAAGATGTGAGGATGTGAAGATGTGAGGATGTGATGAAGATGTGAAGATGTGAGGATGAGAAGATGTGAAGAAGAGGGTAAGAGGGCAAGAGGCCAAGTGGGCAAGAGAAGAAGATGTAAAGATGTGAAGATGTGAAGATGAGCAGATGTGAAGATAAGAAGATGTGAAGATGAGAAGATGTGAAGATGAGAAGATGAGAAGATGAGAAGATGTGAAGATGAGAAGATGAGAAGATGTGAAGATGAGAAGATGAGAAGATGTGAAGATGAGAAGATGTGAAGGATGTGAAGATTGGAAGGTGCGAAGATGAGAAGATGTGAAGATGAGAAGATGAGATACAGACCCCCACTATTGGAAGAACCCTGCGCTCAGACGCTCTGGGGAAAAACACATGGAGCCTGAGTCCGCGACAGATGCAGCACACTCGAACAGCTCTGGTTATGCTATTGTATTTACACACACACACTCGCTTTTACACGCACACGGTTTTACACACAGACACTTTTACACGCAGACACTTGTACACGCAGCACTTTTACACGCAGACACTTTTACACACAAACGCTTTGACACAAAGACACGTATACACAACAGAAACTGTTACACACAGACGGCTTTACACACAGACGCTTTTACACACAGACGGCTTTTACACACAGATGATTTTACACACAGAAGCTTGTACACGCAGAGGCTTTTACACACAGAAGATTGTACACACAGAAGCTTTTACACAGATGGATTTACACAAACACTTTACACACAGAAGATTGTACACACAGAAGCTTTTACACAGACGCTTTTACACACAGAAGCTTTTACACACAGACACCTTTACACACAGAAACTTTTACACAGAGCACACAGAAGCTTTGAAGCAGACGCTTTTACACAGATGCTTTTACACACAGAAGCTTTCACGCACAGCACACAGAAGTTTTGCACACACAGAAAAAATCGCAATTTTACTTCAGTTTTTGGCGATCAGCCCTCATTTCGTGCGAAAGGGTTGCAACGGGAACCCGGAAATCGCAATTTTACAGCAGTTTTTGACGATCGAACCTCGTTTCGTGCGAAAGAGTTGCGCGGGACGATTTGAACACGGACTTCTACCACAGTTTTGGACGATCGAACCTCATTTCGTGCGAAAGGGTTGCGCCGGACACCCTGAAATCGCAATTTTACCTCAGTTTTTGGCGATCAAACCTCGTTTCGCGCGAAAGGGTTGTGCCGGACAAGTTGAAATCGCAATTTTACTTCAGTGTTTGATGATCGAACCTCATTTCGTGCGAAAACGTTGCGTTTTTTTCGAGTTGAAATCGCAATTTTACTTCAGTTTTTGGCGATCGAACCTCGTTTCGTGCGAAAAGGTTGCGCGGGACAAGTTGAAATCGCAATTTTACCGCAATTTTTGGCGATCGAACCTCGTTTCGTGCGAAAGGGTTGCGTTTCGTGCCGTCTCGTTGGCACTGCCCCTGCCCCCGCCTTCAGAAGAGAAATATAAAAGAAGGAGAGGGCAAGAGGGCAAGAGGGCAAGAGGGCAAGAGGGCAAGAGGAGAAGATGTGAAGATGTGAGAATGTGAAGATGTGAAGATGAGAAGATATGAAGATGTGAAGATGAGAGACAGACCCCCACTATTGGAAGAACCCTGCGCTCAGACGCTCTCGGGAAAAAATGGAGTACACCTAGATCCACTGGCTCATCATCATTTTTCAAAAAAATTGAATTTTGGTGGTGTAGCCAATTTTAAGGGTATATGACCTCCCATGTTCGGTGGTTGAATGGTGACCAAGTGACCCCTTGTGAGCTGAATTTTCCTTGGCATACTCTCCATGTAGGGTATATACCAACAGAGTAAGCCTACCAATGTGGCTGATCAGCATTTACACACCACAAATGGCTGTCATGGGGGGCGAAATTTCCATAAGTCGTGGCTGATACTTGCATACTTGGCACCTAAGAGGTAAGCGCTAAAGCTTGCATATTAACTCCGGTCCCATTTAAATCCCATTTATGACATTTATGGTTACGGATCAAGCCATGAACCGAATGTTCACACATGCAACTAAACATGGATTGCACTTGGGGTTTCGTCCCAGCTGGCAACTGCAACCAAAAACTTTTGTGTCACTGGGAAAGGTTCTAACCACAATTTGGAAACACTTGCAGTGCATCAGTTGCTAGCTGAAATACGTATCCAAGATGCACCATGCTGTCAGACACTGAATTCTTTTTGCGCTACAGGTTGCAGTTGTTCCTCGCAACGTAGGTCCTGCGACGATGGGCCTAGAAGGGACTGGGCGAAATCAAAGAAAACACAACTCTCAAATCACATCAGACTTACCCGTATTGTAAGCCTCCTTACATATGCTTACTGCATATATGCAACAAAAATAAATACAACTTAAACACAAGTATATAATACAAATTTATACAAAACTATTTAAACAAAAAAATAATATATATATATATAAGTCTACAAACAAATGAAGTTTCCTGAAATAGGGGCGCCCCCAAAATGGATGGTTTATAATATATACTAGAAAATCGTATTGAAATTGATGATTTGTGGGTGCCTCCATTTTAGGAACCCCCCAAATTATCAACTTACCAAAAATCAGTCTCCATGAATAGCCTGCCTGTCTTGATGATAATTATACATATTAATTTCATCACCTTTCTTATTTTGACTAGCCGAAACCATCACCGAAACCATCCTTTTTCTGATCAATCCATGGCTGGTGCCTCAAATGCCGCACAACTCCCTCCTGACTTTCCGCAAATCCGCGTCATCCCAAAGGTGGTCCCAGTTGCTCAAGGACTCCTTCGGGGCCGCAGTGATCCCGGGCGATCCAAGGGGATGGGATCTAATTTGACCCACTGCGTCTGGTGGAAAACAACATGGTCTCATTCATCACCACAAAGATACCCTATGTTAAATTACCAGAGGGTATTCATAAATCCAGGCGAATATTAATTGCCAGCTACACGGATGATCCTTTCTGGTCCTGACCTCCGGTGTCATCAAACATGTCTAGCTGGAAAATCCACCATTTCGTTCGGGGATTTCCCACCAATGCTTGAAAACATCAAAGGATATTTCATCAAATATCCCATCAAGCATCCTTAACCCATTATCAATCCAGTATTTCAAAATAAGGGTATTGCATTAGTTCTTCACCCATTATAATATTAGCCACTATTAACTAATGATCTTAAGCATTCGAAGCATATTTCATGTCATTATTACACCATAATTGTTAACTATGGAAACCACCGAGTGACTGCAACGAACCGCAGGCCTCCTGATCGAAGCGCAAATTCGCCGCCTGTTCCAAGGTCTGGAAGAACACCGCGTCTGTGACCTGCGGATTTTTTTTGCAGCCGCTAGCTGCGGTGATGGGTGCTGCACTACATAGGCATACGGTATAGGAACAACCACAACAATGCAGAAAAGGTTCAATATACTTTTGGGGTTGCTTTACGTATCTTGAGGTTGACTCTTAGCAAGAAGTACAAAACACCCGAATATTTGAGTAGGAATTGAATTCTCGGAACCTTTTTAGTGGTGCTTTGTTGTACCCTGATTTGTGGGATGCTTGGGATTTGGCTGTGAAGGATGGCTCTTGTACTCTTTACAATGGGACAAATTGAATGCGGGAATTGTGATGCAGTTCATAGCCCACCAGATCTTCCATTGCTAACACTCTGCGCAGCTTATCAATGGCTTGCCTTCGAAGACACTATGAGGTCAGACCTTCCCCCAACGGCCTCAGCACCATCTCGGTGCTGATAGGCAAAGACCTAAGGTTTCACACAGATGTGGCAGCTGGGCGGGAAACATCCATACTTTGATGGTTTCCTCCGCAACCGTTGTTGCTTGTCGGATGCGCATGTTTGATTGCAAGACCAATGGCATCTACAGTTTTGATGTTGAAATCCCGATCTTGGATCTTTTTATGGTATAACCTAACTTTTTCTACTGCAAACTCATGCTTTGCTAATGGCAAAATCACACCCAGCCCTATGGTTGTCTGCGTCCCCTACGACACGGCCGCCCGGCACCAGCAACTGACGCAAGGTCTGCTGCAAGGCCTCCCAGACCTAGCAGCTATCAATGAGTGGCTCAAAATGGTCCTGGCCAACAAACATATAGCCGTATAGCGTTATAACTACCCGCTATAACGAATAACCATTGTTGGTCGTCCAAAATTTCGAGCGGAGCGGCAAAAGCAACAATACTTTGGGAGGAGACCACCAACATGTGTATTCAAACCGTTCCATCTTCCTAAGCACACATAGAAACTGTAAGCAATTTCTGAAGCCATAGAGATCCAAGCAAAGGGAATCAAAAAATCACACGCGTTTCCCTGAAAGTTGACGTGGCGAATCTTAGATACTCTACACATCATTTTAGCTGATTACTGAAATGCAAATATCATCATGTAGCCCAATGTATGGCACAAATTACCTAACTATCCATCCAAGGTTTACCCAGTTGACTGTACGGTTTACCTTTGATCAGCGACACTGCCTGCTGTGGAAGTTGGTAGACCACTTCACAGCAAAGAATAAGGTCGAAGGGTCCTGCCACGGTGTCATGACATGTGACGGCACTCAGGGGGCTGCTTGTGGCATGGAAATTTAGGTTTCCTCGTGTCTGACAGTTGACAAATTTCATCTGCAACCAACAATTATATAGATTATACAACTGTTAAAATGCCTCCTGAAACTTGTTTGCTAGTACACAAACACGCCTGTTTGTTGCTTACCTCATGTTGATGCCACCAGCAGCGTCTGGGCCCGCACACCATGCTGTTCCAGAAATTTCTTGGCCTCCGCTTCGCCCCAAAAGAGGCTTCGCACCTCCACTTTTGGCACAGCGGAAATGATTAGATGATTTGGCAGATTTTATCCATATAATTTCCCTGTTTTGGTGAATTTACCAAGTGGAAATTGGTCCAAGCCATCAGCACCTCCAGGGACGGGTTGATTTGACTGGTTTAAAATTGGAGTGTAGGTATGAAGCAGCGATCAATGGGGGATCACGGAGCACTTATGACCTATTCTCCAAGAATAAAGCGCAAGATACACATGAAAGCACAAAACATATCCATTCATCGCAGCAAAGAAAATACAAGCAGCTACAAGTGAGCAAGAGCTAGCTCATCACGAACCAACCTGGACGTTTGGCATGGGCGGCACGACAGGTGCCACACCATTCACCTGCCAACATAGTTGGAAATTTGGATGGACGTTCATCACAAATAACTATATTGGGCCCAGAGGTTTGAACCAATCCCCAAATTCCTATTGTTGTGGGTGTCATAGCCAACATCCCCCCGTAGCAGTTGGGACACAATGATTGCTATCGATTTCCCACCGAAAACATCCTGGAAACCTAAAACCACAAAGGTTCAGTAAAGTTGTTGATCCCCCATGTTCGGACCGGGGTCTACTCCATCAATGTGTCAAGCACCGCACCTGCGAAACCCAAACATGACGAAATCGCGAGTGGATCTAAATTGGGGGTGTCACTTTGACGATTTTTTCACATCGCAAGGAAGTATATGTTTCATTTAGCGGCTGAACCTTGGCAACATCGGGAACGGAAGCCAAGGCAGCATTCCTGTGACATGATCGGATCGACAGGAAACTGAGGAATTGATCGCCCAACAGATGGAAACAAATGGTGGGTTCGTCTGAAAATCTGTGCTGTTCACTAAAAACCGTGGGATGATCTCAATATTTATATACTGGGTTTGCATATGGCAAGGAAACGCGGTGGAATTTTCATAGGCTGACCAGCGGCCATCCAACAAGTCCAGAAAACTTAGCCCCTGATGGATCTTGCATGACGTTGCCATATCCGTGCGCAAGTGGCAAGAGACGGCACGAGCCTCACCCCTGGATCGGAGGCACTGTAGGGTGGTTTCAACCGATCCGAAGCATGTAAGCTGGGAATACCAGGCAGGATGGATCCACGAACAAGATCGAACAAGTCATTGCAGAGTCCTCACTTTGACCCCAGCAATCCTGGTATACACGATACAAACCGGAGGCCAAAACTCAGCAGGGATATAAACAACCATGTCCCATTCATGGCGAGGTTGGCTGGGTCAAGCCCTAGCTGTGCCTTGCCAACAGGGGCATCACACGAGGCACATCTGTCAGCGTCACCTGAAGCAGACTGTCCAAACCGTACAGCGGCTGGCGGTTTGAAACCTATTGGAACCTGAAACTTTTAACAAAACATGATCAACCAGTTCAACAAACAACCACAAGAACCACAAACAAGTTGTAAGATGTTGTAAGCTTATCTAGATGATGCTTTCATGCTTATAATCAACATGTCAAATGTTCAGCCTCCAACTATTGCACAATGGCGCACTGAAGTGACAGAACTCTTCAGGCTGTGGTGAATTCTTAAATGCATGGGGAGATGTTGGAGTGTTGATTCCCTAGCCGTGCTTACCGACGAAACGTGGAAAATAGTTCTTTTCCACCAAGCATGTGGGCATCATCGGCCGAGAAGACAACATGACTGTGTTTCACAATTAACTTTCACCTACCCTTTCTGTGTCATCAAACATGGTGCAGGCGGAAAATTCCAACCAATTAGTTTGATGATTTTCCCCGCTAGAAACTTAGATTTTTATGCGGTTTCCAATTGCCATGTTGATGACTGAAGGGTACTAGACCTAAGAAAATGCTTGTAGCAAGGGACGGTGGGTATTCTAGGGCGACGTCGCAATGGGTTCGTCGTCTTGGATGTGCTTTAAGGGGCCTCCAAAAAAAAACAAAACAAACCTTCCTGATGCCCCCCGCATGGCGGAATTACCCATGGGGACATAACAAACCACCACCTCAGCAACCCCAAGCCATTCAACCAATATATCCCAATTATATCAATTATATCCCAATCATATCCCCTTAAAATATCCAGGGCTTTGTGGGAACCACATCTAAACATCTCAGCAGACAACCCCGGCCACGGGACGCTCTGAGCACCAAGGCCTCGGTTCAGTGGGTTACAATCTTGGATGCCCCGCGGACAATATGACAGTCTAAGCTGGGCACTACGTTCCCCCTTTCTATGTCAAGAGATTGAAATGTGAAACTATGTAGTTCAGAATTGTGTTGCCCATATTTTGATGGTGAACTGGGGTTGCGTCAAAATTCAGGTACGGATCGGCCCGGGCTGATCCTGACGTATGGATGGGTCTGGATCACCTGCGTTTTCGTATGGATCGGGGGTATGGATCGGCCTGTGGGTTCAGGGTATGGATCGGTCTGTACATTTTGACTCGCAGCTGTGAACTACCAATATGTGGGTTGAACACATCCCATTGTTAGTTGAGCATGTTCAGTTTTGATAAAAGCATAACTTAGCGGTTAAAATCACATAAAAGCACAATGATCTACGAAGAAAAGCCACCTTGTCCCCAGGAAAAAAACATCCTCCAACCTGTCCAATCCCAGCGGCGATGTGCAACGAGACCCACCAAACCAGTACCAGCACTCAGGTCTAGGACTCGACAGCCTGGCGAGGTCAAAACCCGTGAAGCCCGAAGAAGAACATCAAATTTAAGCGTTGCAATACTACTTGGGGTTGCAGTTGAGGTTGGCATAAGAGGTTCTATCCCAACTGATTGAGGGTACCACCATGGCGATGCCAATTGGGAACCCCAACCACAACTAGACTTTGAACGTTGGCCCGGTTCTTTTCAATGGATTAACCCAGTGTCTGCTGGCTCGAGACCTTACCCACTGTGAAAAGGACCTGATGCCTAGCTGATCCAGGCCCCAGTGAATCAACCAAACCACAGAAAATAAAAACGTTTGGTTAGGTTCACTTACTTTTTTCAAGTTCACTGCAATAGCCACATAGTCCGGCAATTGGAACCATCCAGTTCATGATGCATGGTTAAAAATGCATTTTTTTAAATATGTTTGTCCTTTGCAAGGGAAAAGACACCAACAAGCATTGATAAGCACGACCTTCCGGTTTAATGAAAGATTCACATGATTCCTGGTTTGTGGCTATCATGGCACGCAAATGCACCTGAGATGTGTTTTAATCCCTTCCTCCTAATACTAAACGTCCCCCAAATACTAAAAACGGGCGTCCATCTCCAATTTCAGAAAATTTCAGATTGGCAATTTTGATTTTTAATTGATCCCCTTTAGAAAGAAAACAATTTAAAAATCAACCTACCATTTGTTGGGTTTCCCCCCCTAATACTAAAAACAACTAGTTCACCCCGGGGTGTTTATTACTAGGGTCCGTCCGATTTTTTAATTTCTTATATTAAGTTTTTTTTAGTATTAGGGGGAAGCTTCGAAATCCAATTTTTGGCAATATTTTAATCGCGTTATATAAAGAAATTTAAGTGATTTTGAGATCAAAAAAAATAGTTTTTATTCAGGGTTTTAATTAAATATTAGGGGGAAGCTTCGAAATCCAATTTTCGGCAATATTTTAATCGCGGTATATAAAGAAATTTAATTGATTTTGAGATCGGAAAACATAGTTTTTATTATTAAGGGTTTTAATTAAATATTAGGGGGGAAGCTTCGAAATCCAATTTTTGGCAATATTTTAACTGCGTTATATAAAGAAATTTTATTGATTTTGAGATCGGAAAAATAGTTTTTTATAAAGGGTATAACTTTATTAATAGGGTTCCCTAATAATAAATACAACCCTAATACTACTAACTAGACGACGGATGGCCCGAGAGCGCAGAGGAGCAGGGTCTTCTCCTGTTAGTATGGAGACACCATATTACAAAACAATATATATATATTAAAGATGTGTTATGGGCAGACGAGAAGAGGAGTATCAAGACAATATAGCAAAAGTACAAGACGCTAGTTTGCATCGTATCTTTCAAATAGCTTTTCACACACAGAACTTTTTACAGAGAGACGCTTTTACACACAGATGCTTTTAGACACAGACACTTTTCCTTTTACATAGGGAAGCTTTTGCGCACAGACATTTTTACACACGGAAGCTTTTACACACAGACGCTTTTACACACATAGGCTTTTACACACAGACTCCTTTACACACAGACGCTTTACACGCAGACGCTTTACACGCAGACACTTTTACACGCAAACACTTTTACATACAGACGCTTTTACGCACAGAAGCTTTTGCACAGACACTTTTACACACAAAAGCTTTTACACACAGAAGCTTTTACACACAGAAGCTTTTACACACAGACGCTTTTACACACAGACGCTTTTACACACAGGCACTTTTAAACACAGACACTTTTACACACAGGCGCTTTTACACACAGACAGTTTTACACAAAGACGCTTTTACACGCAGACGCTTTTGCACACAAAAGCTTTTACACACAGAAGCTTTTACACACAGAAGCTTTTACACGCAGGAACTTGTACACGCAGACGCTTTTACACGCACACGCTTTTACACGCAGACGCTTGTACACGCAGACGCTTTTACACACAGACACTTTTACGCACAGACGCTTTTACGCACAGACGCTTTTACACACAGAACCTTTTACACACAGACGCTTTTACACACACAGACGCTTTTACACACAGACGCTTTTACACACAGACGCTTTTACACAAAAACACTTTTACACCAGAGACTTTTACACACAGACGCTTTTGCACACAGAAGCTTTTACACACAGAAGCTTTTACACACAAACGCTTTTACACACAAAAGCTTTTACACACAGACGCTTTGACACACAAACACTGTTACACACAAACACTTTTACACACAAACACTGTTACACACAAACACTTTTACATACAGACGCTTTTACACACAGAAGCTTTTGCACAGACACTTTTACACACAAAAGCTTTTACACAGACACTTTTACACACAAAAGCTTTTACACACAGAAGCTTTTACACACAGAAGCTTTTACACACAGACGCTTTTACACACAGACGCTTTTACACAGGCACTTTTACACACAGACACTTTTACACACACAAGCTTTTACACACAAAAGCTTTTACACACAGACGCTTTTACACACAGAGACTTTTACACACAGACGCTTTTGCACACGGAAGCTTTTACACACAGACGCTTTTACACACAGACGCTTTTACACGCAAAAGCTTTTACACACAGACGCTTTTACACACAGACGCTTTTACACACAAAAGCTTTTACACACAGACGC